CTTTGATTTTCTGGAAGTGCCGAGCGCTGAGAAGCCAGGGCCAGCAAACGCTGCTGAAGGTGCAAACCAAGAAGCTGAACTAGAAGGTTCCGAGCCAAGCGAGTCTGACAATGAGAACCCTGTTGATGACAAAGACGGTCTGCAATATGACAGCCCCAGCCTCCATGACGACTACTTGCATCGCGGCCCTTTTCTGCGTGCGTTTAATTTCTACACATATGCAGCGCGGGTAACAAGAATCCGCAAATCTGAGAAGCGTGCTTCAGATTATGTGTTTTATTTCGATAGCCACTACCCTCTAGCAACACTTTATTGCCAACAGCTGCGAACTCAAATGGCCGTTCCTCGGCTAGTTGGTGGAGATTGCCCACCATTGGACAAGGAGCATTTGGAAGAGCACGCTCGGTTCAAACTCATGTTGTTTGCTCCAGTTCATTGCGCAGGCTCTGGAGATTGTGCTAACCCACTGAATTTTGCCAAGGTTCTATTCAAGTCCAAGCGAAAAGTCCGTTTTGCCCCAGTCTGGCGGGCACAGTGCGCTGAAATCCGTGTTGAACTTGAGCGCGCAAGCACCAAACTAACAGCCTTGCATAAAATACACACTCTTAAGGACACAAGCCTTTGCCGTGCCTGGTGGCCAGACTCGAAAACAAAAGACATAGCAAGACACTCAGGTTTTCGAAGCCAAGCTTGCATTCTGTGGGCAACTGCAAAGCAGCTACTTCTGAGAAAGCATGGTAAAATTACAGGCCACATCTTCTCGTGTCTAAGCACATGCCTTGGAATTCCGTGCGGCTGGCACCCAGCACAGCTGCACATTGAAGAGTTTCTTGCCTTGGGAACAGACGAAACCAGTCGCAACTTTAACTTGCAGAGCTTGGCGAAGACAAAGCCACTAAAAGACGCGCGTGATATTGATGAGCGTGCCATAGAAGGAGACGAAAGTGATATGGAGAATGCGAACCAGGACCAGGACTTGAAACCCCAGGCTGAGGCAGAAGTCTCTGCAGCTCCACGTGTGCAACTCAGCCTGGATCAATGCAAGGACATCCTTTCTCGATCAGAGGAAATTGCACGATGAGAAATTTTGGGCAGGTGTTTGGAGAGAGGCTGCAAGCAACGCTGGCGCCAGTCCAATGCCAAGCCAAGCCGCACTATGTCTTGGATGAGATGTTGCACGCAGGCGAGATATCCTTGTACCAGGGTGCAGTGGCCAAGCTGCTTCGCAAAGAAAGCAGGCAAGATGGAACGCCTGAGAGCATGTTTGGCGGCCATTTGCCCGCAAGTGTGGCGGTTGAGGGGTTGTTGGCATTGCTTGCGAGAAATGACCGCCGTGAAGAAGTGACAGCCACTGTGGTGCCTTTGCCTGACGCTTGGAAAGGCCCAGCTCATGTAGCAAAGACTCTCATGCAGGCATTTCCATTTAACTCAGAGCAGATTGACATACTGGCTACTCTGATTTTGCCTTTGGGAGAAGCTTGGCAGGCCAGACCAAACCAAGACTCTCTTCATCTTGCTTTCTAGGAGGCGGCTGTGTTCTTGGAGCTCCAAGTAACAAAGCCGCCAGGCTAATCCAGGGCAAGACTTTGCACAGTCTTGGTAACTTCTCTGTTTCTGACTCGCTCGAAACGTTTGCTCTAAAGTTTTCTTCGCACGAGCAGCGTAGAAAGGTTGAAGCGAATCTTGGACGAGCTGGTGCTCTCTTACTAGACGAGTTCAGCCAAATGCAGGCCACTCTGTTTCATGGGTTGTCTTTGCGAGCAACTTATGCGAGGGTGGACAATTGTCAGTTGGAGCTAAGCGACTATGCCGGAACTGAAAATCTTTTTGGAAGAATGTCATTTCTGTTGTTAGCCGGTGACCACTTGCAATTGCCGCCGGTGCCAAAGTCATCCTCGCTCCTTGCTCCTTTGGAGGGAACAACGTTGGAACACCAAGCTGGAGCAGCCATGTTTTCCAATCTTTGGGATGTCTTTTCCATGGCAGCAGCCATGAGATTTCAAGATCCGATTCTGCGAGAAATCCCCCGCAAAATGAGGATTCCTGGGGGTGAGAAACTGCTGGACGCCGAGTGGGCAGCCCTAGTGTCCACTAGGATTTCTGGTGCGGAGGACGTGCGGCTGCAAAGCTGCCAGGAGTATTATTATAGTTCTTACCTCTTCCCAGAATGAGGTTCTTTTCTACTCTCAGGCAATTGACGCAGTGGACCGGCCTTGTTCGCGAGAGTATTACAAGCAAATGTTGCAAGTGCCTAGCCTGTCGACAACAAAACGCATTCCTGGCATTGCCGCTTTTCACATCGGCATGCGCGTCCGGCTCACCATGTCAGTGCTGCCTCCGTGGGCAGTGTAGGACACGCCTGGCACTATCATTCCCATCGACTTTGCCCCGCTGACACAGTGGCCGCACAGCGGCAGCACGTCCGGCGAAGTACTGCTGCAACACCAGCCGCGGGCCATCTATGTGCAGCTAGACAACGTAGATTTGGAATTCTTACCTCCTAAGGTGTGTCCTGCGCACGCGCGCGCTGGCTTTTCCCAGAGCTGTCATGCTTGCAAAAGCTTCGTAGGAGTTGTGCAGGTGTTGCCGCGCACACTTCGGTGGCGTTTTTCTTCGCATGACGGCTTCACAGCCAATGTGCAACGTAGCGGCTTCCCAATTTTTCCTGAGAGAACATGTAGCTTGTATTCCCTACAGGGGACCACAGCAGACCCTGGCCTCATAGCCTTTTTCGACATGCCCAAAAGAGCAGGGGCAGATGTTCGGTTTCTCATCGTATACGTTCTGTTATCAAGAGTTCGACAGTTAAGCAGCCTGCTGTCGGTAAGCTTGAAAGACTCAATCCAGAGTCGGGCCCGCCAGCTGGACTTGTTGGTGAATTCGACCGCATTTTTGAGACAAGATTGGGCAAAACTGAGGAAGCCCGTCAAGCCTTACGTTGGAGCAAGCAATATGTCGAGCCTCATCCGGCTGCTTGATTTCAGGGTACTGGATACTGGCAACCATGTGGGCGAACTTTTGGGATGCAAAGACAAATACACTCAATCGTTGGCCGAGTCTGCTTCAGTGGACGGAGAGCTGCGCCTTTACTTGAGCGACGCTCAGCACGGTGCAGCGCCGCTCGGGATTTTTTATGCCCTTGGTGAAGAGCTTGAAAAAACAAACAGTCATTTCTTGCACCTCCGGTCACATCGTCGTTTGAGCAATGAGGCTTCCTCCAAGATGACCTGAGCGAGCCAATTTGGGCGTGGCCATTCATGTCCAGGTGGATCTCGTTCCTGTTGCTTTTTTCGCGGGCCCGACTCTCTATCGAACCCGCGGATGCGCGGTCAGGTATACCCGGGAGCGGGCAAGCTGGGAAGAATGGCTTCTATTTGCTTAAGATTATGTGTCTATTCGTTGGTGGGCTCCCTAGTTTCACCGTTTGGCTATGCATTCTTGGTGCTCCCGTTATGAACAAACCACTGAAAACACGGACGAACCCTCGTTGCTACCCTCACAAGCCAGGATATAGCTGCGGGTCAAAACCAATGGTACCATTTTGGGAGGTGCGCCACCCATTTTAATCTATTTTAGTGCGGATTGGGATGTTCACTGGGGGTACAGGATTTTGACCCATGGCCATGTGTTTGGTTTCTGCTGCTGGCTTCAAAGGGAATCAGACCTGTTATGTTTTCTTGCTGTTTGGGGTTGAGGCTGGTGTAATTTGGGTTTATCTTTGGGATTTGTTTTTGGGGTTTCGGGTTGGTTTTTAGGTTTGTCCTGGGGTTTTGTCTTTCGGGTTTGTTTTTGGGCTTTCTCTTTTGGGTTTGTCTTTAGGGTTCGCCTTTGGGGTTGGCCTTTGGGGTTTGTCTTTTGGGTTTGTCCAGTGCTGGTACTAGCACTGGAACCAGTATTGGTACCGGCGATTCCAATTTCAAGCAAAGCTTAAAACTGGAACCAAGCTGGAACTAGTACCAGCGCTGGTGCCAGCAACCAAACCAACACCCAACCAAACCACCCTAAACCCTAAACCCCAAACCCCAAACCCCAAACCCTAAACCCTAAACCCAAACCCTAAACACTAAACCGAACTACTACCTCCCAACTACACCAGACCTACGAGGCGCTCCAAACTACATGACAACCTTTTTCACCACCCACTACTACGCGACCT